GGGGGGGGGGAGGGTGGCGGAGTTCGCATTTAACAAGCCGCAGCCTGCCCCGGCTGCTTGCATTTCCAGCTCGAGTATATTTGCATATTCACGTGGTGGGGCTGGGTGTGAAGTTTTTTGATGTGGAACGTTTGTGGTTTGCGTGTGTCTGTGTGCCCAGATAGAAATTGGAGAAGAGCGAAAGCATTTGTTTATTGAACAGTTAAAGATTGATGCGGCCTTCCTAAGGGACCATGGGATCATGGACTATTCCTTACTGCTAGGAATATCCTACGCTAGTTGTTCACAAGGTGAGTCAGCAGCATTCAACACAAGGTTTTGCTGGTTTTTTGTCGCTCTCCCGTTGAAGCCTTTCCAGCAAACGTCTATACGCCATCCACGCAGTGTATGTGAACGTCGCGCCGTCAGTTCCGTCAGGCAGTCACGAAACAGATTCTTCAGGCGGGAGTTGCGGCAGTTTTGTGCTGATGCGGAACTGCAAGTAAAGAACGTTTGGTTGTGTGCATGCATGGAAGATTTTGTCACTAGGGTGTGGGTGTTCTTGTCTCGATCAGATCCCAACATATGCCAGGACGGCATGTTGCAGGTTGACGATGATGTTCGCGTGCTGCATTCGATGTAAGTTGTTACTTTTGCGGCCTGAGAAGGTTCAAACTAAACAGTGCCGCCCTGGTGGTCTGAGGAGATGCACTGTTCCACTCCACATGTTGTATCTTTCACTGCAGCCCGGATGCAGGCGAGCAGATTAATTTTCGATGCAACCTTTTGTTGCCGCAGTACTTTTTTCAGCTGAACGGACTCTTCCTGTGTGACAATCTTTAAAGCTTTTGCTGAAGGCCCAGCCTGTTGTCGATCAAGTTCATTTCATCTTATTGTTTGCAGGGCACCGAGCTCTGTTTCTTCAATGATTGGGATGGGCGACTGCGGTGAGTGCGTTTGCAGTTGTTGCAGCCCTTGTGTAGGGCTGGCTTTTGGAAAAAGGGCATGGTGACTGCAAGCGACACCCTGGAAATGCCACTGCTTTTTTCGCGTTTTTCTTTGTTTTGTGTGCAGACCTCGAACGGCCTTTTTGGAGCAGGGACCTCGGCGGCATGCAGAGCACTGACCGCACTAAGTTGTATTACGTCGGAATCATCGACATCCTGACCCATTGGACGGCTAAAAAGAAAATCGAGCATGTTGCTCGTGTTCTGCAGTACGTTGTTCTTCCTTTCTGCCCTGTACTTCTCGTCTTCGAGATCTTGTATTTCACGATAGGCTATCTCTCAAAAAATTTCGTTGCTGTGGATTAAGGAGTATCTCGAGCTTGCCAGTTTGGATTGGTGTGCGGTGCAGGACAGGAAGCACAGCAGGAGCTTCCTGTGTCAACCCTTCCCTCTATGCCCGTAAGTGTTGGTTTCACACACTTGCTATGGTTGGCTTGATGGGTGTTCTAGTTATGCAGTGGAAGAATAGGAAGCAAGTTCTTACGGACTTGCTGTGCTGCTGCTGTTATGTGCTGCAGAGCGTTTTGTTGACTTCATCTCCAACCACACTGTTTGATTTGATTCAATTTGTTTATCCGGTGTCTCGTTGATGACGTTCTAAAGACACATTAACTACATGAAGCAGTATCTGTTCACGGCTTATTTTTTTGGAGACGGGAAGAAGGGATAACGATGTTAATTCAGCGATCGGCGGACTGCAGACTCAATGGGAATATGCTTGCCGAATGAGACCGTTTTAGACTTAAAGTTGTAATGGGAAGACAAATGCGAACTTCCGCAGCTGACCGCACTCTGCATGCGCAGTACCTGCATGCTCAAAATACCACCAGCATTTACCCCGGCACTGTGAAAGCCAATTAGCAGGTTTTGACTGCATGCGTTTCTGTAGTACACGCTTGTTTGTTTACCCAGCTTTGCCCGCCTCCTCACACCGCTGCCTCGAATGTGGAAAAGCGCAGAAGAATGCCATCACTCTAAAACTCTAACGCTCACTTATCTCCGCAGCGCATGTTGAATGTCGTTCCTTTTCACCGAATATAGCGCAGCAAACAACGCCCGCTGCATGCATTCTGAGCCGTGCAGGCGGCCCCGTCTGCCTAGCGGGCTAGCATATAAAGTAGCGGGCGTTTTCTTCAATTTGCACGAACACCATGGAAAAAGACAAATGCCCGGGGAATAGTTTGCTTACGCTTGCGTTTGTTTCGAAATGACAGTGATAGTGCTTGGAATACTGAAAACATAGAATGCAGAGCCAGTCACAGCACATAGAACTGTCACAGCTCACATTCTTGTTTAGTCGCCTTGCGCTTGACAAATGAAACAGCGCGGGAGAGGGCGCGCACGGAATTGAACCATGAACCTGCCGATCTGCAGTCGGCCGCTCTACCATTGAGCTACACACCCATCGGTCGTTGCAAAAACATTCAGGGGATCACCTGCCCCGTTTTGGACTGCTTTGGTTGTAAGCTTAAACCACGTCCCTATGCCTGTGGGCGACAATCAGACAGGCTTGTACGACTCCGTACTGTACAGCGTCGCGAAGTTTGCGTGCCTGTCTTAGGGATTGTGGTTAGTGAGCCTCACACTCAATTTGCTAGTGAGCCTAGGTTGTCTCAAAGCTGGCGCGCAACGTCTAGGCGCCCCGATGCTCATATAAACATGGCAGTCACCTGAACGAATATTTTAAATTGGGTTCCATCTTGATTCATTCAAGCGGAGTTGGCAACGGTAGATACCTAAAGCACACGCGTAAACCCCCATTTGCCAAAGTCGTTCCGCTGTTCCCTGCAGCCTTCTGTGAAAAGGCATAAGTTCTATTTCAAGGGGAAATAGGCCTGTAGAGGAACTTCCCACGCTTAACAGTTCTCAGAAGTGTGAGGAACTGGGACTATAAAAAGCAACCCACGAAAGAATAGGATAGCGATAAAAATTGTCTGAACTTCCTGCGCCCATCGCTCCACCTAACATGTCCGTACTCTACATTTGAAGGCTTCACCATGAGCAAGCTTTGCTTTCACGTGCTCGTCCGGCATTCGATGAAGACTTCAGGAACCTTAATTCCGTACGCGCGCACACGTTGCCTATATATCAGTATGCTACAGTGCTCCGACACCACAGAAAATATGTTTGAAGCGTAGGCGCGAACGCCGCCGGACCGGTCCTCCATTCACACGGATGGCCTTATCAAGGGTTGGTATTGGAAAAAAGCGAACAGCCTGAGGGCGCGCACGGAATTGAACCATGAACCTGCCGATCTGCAGTCGGCCGCTCTACCATT